CCCGGTGAAAGGACGGGGCGAGCAGCGTTCGAAGGAGTAGCGTTGGCGGCTGCGTCATGGTCATAATAAAATCTACTGGCCATTACTTGTGCTTTCCTTTCGAGTGGCAATTCTCCGGTTCGTACTCGGTTTCCCTTTTTTTTTTGCTGCCATCTTTATCTTCCTTTCACTCCTTTTGGCGGGGCAATTTGTGTGCACCAATTACTTTGTTTGTTTGCCCGTTCGCCGTGCGACAATTGCAGAGGACAACTGCGACTGCAGCGCACTTCACTCCGCTGCGTTTCCTCTATTTCCGTTGCAAACATTTCCGTTTCGCATTGCTGCAAATTTATTGTTTCCTTGCGGGCTGCGGGCTGCGTGTGTGTGTGCGCCTCGTTGTCCTTTTGCGCGTCTCCTTTTTGCTAGAAGGACCCTTTTGGTGGCCTGCTTGAGCCCGATGGGCCTGCCACCTTCTAGTCGGAGACGACACGGGCTCGATCAAACAGCAAAATGGCGGCAAGGCGGAAGTGCCGTCCCTACATCCACCTCCTCCGCCACGCACAAACGTTGTTGTGCGTTTCCGGCCGGAAATACGCATTTAGTTGCATGTGAAATTGTTACATTTTTGTCAACAGGCAAATTTATATTTATTTCTACGCGTTTCTTATTCCATTCTTGGCTATGAAAAATTGAAATGTCGTTTCTAATAAATCATTTTGGCCCAACTGAGAGGAGAGCGACTTGTTTGTTTCGCTTGCCGTCGCCGTCGCCAACTGTTTGTGCTTATTTCCGTTTCCGCTGGCCCAACGACCCTGGCCTGGCTCCATTTTTTTTCGCCGAAGGAACCGGGGGGAGTGGCGTCCGGGTCTGGGCTTACCTGGCCGGATATTTTCAGCGCCGTCATTGCAGCTGACATAATTAATTACCTGCTCGCGCGAGCTTTTCCCAGCGGCTGCGTGTGCCTCACCCGAGGCGAAGGCGGCGGGAGAAACAGGAAGCGGCCTGTCCTCGTCCCCAGATTTGCTGACAGGTGGCGGCAAAAGGAAGCAGTCAAGGAGACTGGAAGCAACAGCTCCGCCGCCTCCGCCAGGACTCGCAGCAATTATAATTGGTTCGCTTTAATTATATGAATTAATGCGGGGCCAGTCAGTTATTGTGGCGGCTGTGTTTGCCTTTGGGTAATCCACAGAGAACCGGACAAAGCCCGCATCCAAATTGGGCCAAGAGATTTTCATTTCCATTTGTCCCGGGTGCCCGTGTTGCCAGAAACTTCAAAAGAATGGCAGGTTTACGAAAATAAATAAAAGTGACATCAGGGAAAATGTATCCTTGAAGAGGAGACTTTATTTATTGCTTTAAATAATTTTTTTTCTTTAAGTTCTGTTCTTAAAATTTTGTAAAAAGAAACTTATAATGCTGAGATAAATATAAAACGAAGCTATGATATTAATGTGGTATACAAAACCAGTGACAAACTCTTATTATGTACCATTTCTAAATTTTTAAAAAGCATTTAAAAAAAACCATCCTCTCCCCTAAGAAAGTCCCCTTTTTTGGCTTTTGTATCAAATTAGCATGCATGAATAATAACACTCATAACTTTCGTTTTATATGCATGCCCAGGTGACCCCAAATAGAATATTAAATGATTTCATTTTGCCAGATGACAGATGACAGGCTGTCGAGTTAATAATCCTCCACCCTAAGCCCGGACTCAGTTTAGCAGACATTTATCTCTCGTTGAGCTTAAATCTCAATCGACTCGGAAGACAGATGGCACTTTTATCGCAAATTCAGTAGCAGGAGCAGAGCTTTTCAATTAGAAGGCACCATCACCATCACCACCACGAAGGTGCCACCAAGGCTGCATTGGCCATTATAGCAGTGCAATTCAATTAGACGCCGCTGGCAGGAAGTAAGCCCACAGCCCACAGCAGGGGTGGGTTTGGGTTCCTTCTCTCTACGAGGAGCTACTGCAGCGGATCCCGACGTGGCAGCGCACATTTGACAGCATGAAATTGAGTGAGCTGCAGGTCGTCCTAGGCACACAATGTCTCCCTATCATCTCCATGCCAATACCCATGCCCATTCTCATTTCGGGCCTTCCAATCGAAGGCAGGATGAACTATCTAGAGCACGATATATATGGCACTCCCACCTCGAGCACCTTGCACTCGCATGAGTTATCATTTCGGGCACATTGATTTATGCAGTCGGGAAAGCCGGGAAAGCAACCTGCATGCCTGCTGCTGAGATAAGAATTAATTGGCAAGTGCACTGTGCAAATAAATTGCATAGCCGGGCGGTGGTGGTGGTGCTGGTGGTGGTCTCGGTGTGGGTTTCGGAAACACACATAAAGCAGGTCCCCTGGATGGCTGCTGTTGCTGCTTTTAATGCAAATGTGACAAATGTTTTACGGCTGGCTGCGTATGCATTGACTCTGGGCAAACACCTGTAAATGGATTGAAGCCACAGCAGGTGGCCAGGAGCGGAGGAGCCGCAAACAAGGGAATATGTCAAGAATTTTCCACTGTGATTATTTATCATAGAAATAACTGGTCTAAAAATGGATCCCTAGGGGTCAGACTTTTATTAAAGTAATTTTAGAATTTTTGTAATTTAAAATGTGGTTTCTTTCACATATTGAATATTATAAATTATTTTGTAAAATTTCTTTTTATAAAAGTAATTTTTCCTTTACAATTATCCCTTCAATACGCTCCTGTCCCACAATGCCGTATATTAGTTGCTACTGCAACTGCAACAGTAACTCCTTTTATGTTTGCATTCCGGGCTGGCGGCTTTAATCGCAGCTGGCCTTGGTGCCACATCCACACAGGGCCAACAGCGATGCTGCACCTCGAATGGCATTTTTGCCCATATTTGGGATTTGCATTGCCACATTAACTCGCCAGCCAGAGTGTGTGTGTTTGTGTGTGTGGCTGGATGTGTGTTCGGTTAAATTTTGCTGCAAAGAGCGAGGAGAACATAAATTGAAGGGCAGCTGAACAACATTTGCAGGCGATCAATATTATTGCGCCTGCGGTGGGGCAATCAACGAAATGGAGAGTCCCTTAACAATGATGCATAGAGCGGGTGGGACAAGGATGAGGGGCGGGTTAGGAGGCGTCATGGGTCCCTGGTGAATCCCCGTCTGCATGGCCAGAGACTGTGCTCTGTATATTGGCCCAAACGATGTGTTCCGGTAGTGCTGATAATTTGTCCTTATTCTGGATAAGAGAAATGGGACTCCTATTTTCAGGCAACCTATTTTTGTACTTTATTGAAGCATTATTTAACTTAAACTTTTCCTTTTGGATAAAATTCTATAAATAATTCTGTGCTCTTCTCTTTTAAAGAGAATTTCACATAATTTGGAAAAACTCAAGTAATTGAAAGTAGCTTAGTTATAATAGTTTTAAGTAATAATTTTCCCAAAAATTCTCTTGTCTATGTCAGCTTCCATTCTTGTTGTACGGTTGTCAGATCTCTTCTCATCTAAGATTCCCCCTTTGCCATCACAGCTTCCCAACGACAAATATGCTGGTGGTTTATTGATTTCCCAGCTGATTGGGCTTCCTTAAATTATATTTATTACTTCCTCGAGAGGCTGCTACTCCCTCAGCGACTGAAGTTATAGCTATTGACCTAATGCTTACAATCGGATGAGGAATGCTGAGGAGTTTCTGCCGGGCTATTATCAGCTGCTTTTCGTCTGGCAATCGGTTAATTACTTTCGCCCCAATGCGAATCGCTGTCTGCGTCAGCAGGATGCGATTCCTGCCGGCTCCTGTGGGTGTTCTCGGTCTCGGTCTCTCTGGCACGCAATAAATTAGAAGTCGCTATCATTGATTTCTGCTGAGAGCAGCAAGTAAACATTTAATTAAATTGCGACCCACTCTCAATTTCCGCCCCGGCAAAGGCTAAACACTTTTATATCAGTGGCAATTAAAATTACGTATACGTGATGCTGCCTGCCATCGCCCCTTGGGCATTGATTAATGGCCGGGCGTAAAAGAGAGCGCAGAAAAAAAGAAACAGAAAGGAATATGCAAATTGAAGATTTATTAAAGCACCGAGAGTCGGGATCCTGATCCCAGATCCGGGGCGTTAACAGTTGACAGTAATTTCCTGCATCTGGACGCGCTCAAAGCAAAATGCAATTTCCGATAGAGCGCCCCCGTCTGTCCGTTTTTTATGCGAAATGCCCAGCTGTATGTGTCATCATTCTTATGGCCAGGTATATACTGGTCCTGGGCGATGTTTTATGGCGGCAAGAACAAAGGCTTATGACTGTAAACGAGCCTGAAGACGAGGCGGGAGATGGGGAAGCTGCAGGACGAGCTGGCGGAGGAGCAGCTGCTTCAGTAAAAAATAACGCCACATAAGGGAATGACAAAGTAAAAGGGCACATCAAAGCCGTCTGCGAAGGGCGGGTCGGAGTCGTCCTGCTGACCTCCACCATGATGCTGCCAGACAGACAGCGGCTGACGGGAGCGGAGCAGGCATAAAGGAGAGTAATGGCAAAGGATAATGCGTGGCTTTTGCGGGAGTGTGAGGACTAAAAGGATTTACCCCATGTGCCGCAAACTAGAGCACATCATTTAATATGCTCAAATGAGCAATACTAGCAATGAAAAGCACCTTTAGCCGATGATGGGGTATTATTTGCAATTTGCTAATCCCTTAAAGAGAATAAAGGAAGGTCTAAAGAGGTGTTTAAAAGGGGCAATTTAAGAAGTTAGGTTTCCTTTCTCAAATATACTTCATATTTGTAGTTAAATAAGGAAATATTAAATATTATTATTATTAACCGTCTATAAAAAACCTTTTTCAAATAATAAGCAAGTACCCTCTATCACTTATTTTGACTTTCTGCAACCAAATTGTTTGCGCTATCAGATGTTGCTCCCTTATCAACATTTCAGGCAACTCTATCAGCTAAAGAAACACCCACAATCGCAATAAATAAATACTTTTTTTTTTATTATTTACAGAGATAGAGCTATAGTGAGTGAGTCAATGAGATGGCGCAGCAGGTTTACCTCATAAATTAAATAAGATTCGAGACGAGACTGGGGTAGACACACCAGATGCGGCATCCAATAACGCTGATTATTGGCTCTTTTTATCATACACGGAATGACGCTTTTCACTGGCAATCAGTAGTATGCCTCGCAATCCATCTGGCGACGCCACAGCGACCAATCCGCACAGCCCACCGCCTCCTCGGTGGCCAGGAATCCTTTGCCAGCGGCGCACGTGAGTAGCAGAGGTGTGGCCGATGGACCCGGGCAGAGGTAGAACTGATTGGGATCCGGGGAGGCCCAGGGCGACAGCAGGTGTTCGCCGCTGTCACAGCCATCTGAGGACGAACCGACAACAACCTGCTCCTCCGGGGCAGGCAGGCAGGCCGGCCATTGGGCAAAGGGCAGGCAGCCGACGTGGCCGAGACCGCTGAAAAATCCCCGGCCCGCCGGACATCGGAGCTGCAGCGGTTGGCCAGCATCGGAGCACACGTAGAATATGTTGGGGTCCGGATCTCCCCACATGTCCGTGGCATGTCTGCATGTTGCAGTCGTGGTTGTGTCGGGGTCGGAGGAGGCAGATACCGATACCCCTCCCTGCAGCAGCCACAGCAGCAGAAGAGGAATATTCCATTTATTTTTCATAAATAATTTCATCACGAACGGCTGGCAGGGTATTTATTGTGGCTCGCTCCCTCACGGTCCTCCGCTTTCTCCTTATTGCAATTTGCTAGTAAACGCTGTTATTCCTGCACTGTTTCGGGTTTCATCATTTGGCCATAAGCTGTGCTCGTTAATAAATTTATTTGCTCCCTGCTCCGTGCTCCGTCAGCGAACTGAAAAACTCGACTCGACTGATTGATGTCGTCGCCGCCATTGTCTTTCGTTTTTATACTCATGCTCATTGCACGACTTTCCATGTTCTCCCTGCATCGCTATCGGTGCTATTTTTACAGTCATTTTTCATCGGGCTTTTCGGGCATTTTTATTTTGGACTAAAGTGACGTCATCACAGCAGAGGCAGCAGCACAAGTTGGCTGATTAGATAACGAGTCGGGTTTAAAGTTTTATTATTTCGACTCACGCGTGATAAGTTGGTTCCGAAATGAATACTACTGAAGATCTCTATCGGCGGGTAGTCGAAAATTTCCAACTCTCATCGTTTGATTGGTCGGAAATCGCGTTATTTGTAAAAGCAATCTCATTGGTTTTTCAGAAAATATTCCTATCATTGGTAGATAATGTATTGGCATTACTATTAAAAAAATATTAAGGCAGTCCTCTATCCTCATATATTAAATTAATATGTTATATTTATATGTATTCTATTATATCAAAAACACAATTCATTTGATGGGTTCATTGGTGTCTAAATGATTCACTGAGTATAAACTCACAGCCCAGTAAAGTTTGACTACCGAACAGCATACATTACAAAGACACTCTCACACGCCCTTATCTAAGCGATAGCACAGACATTAATTGCCTTTCAAATGAAGCCAAATTGGAAATTATTGCTGCAGAAATCAGTCGAAAATTTAATTACGCTCTGCCAGCCAGCCAGCCAGCCTTGATAATGGGGCAATGTTTTCGGGTTCGTCGTTCAGATGCAGGCTCAGCTGCTGTCAGAAGTTCTAATTGATTTGGCTTAGGGCGTCCGAAAGAAGCTCAGCTGGCGGCGGGAAAGAAGTCACTTTGCGGCCAGGACCTTCAGGATACCCTCCATAACCTGCAAAAAGAAAAGTTGGATGGGCTCCGACGAGCTCCCGTCTCGCAGTTTTGCCGCCAAGTCACGTTGTCAATTCAACTTCGCTTTCTCTAACCACTTTTTGCACTCTATCTACGCAAGCACCAAGTTTAAATAGGCAAACTTCGCGGAGCTCGGGAAAAGTTGACAATATAATCGACATAAATTCCAATAGGCTTGCTATCGATGGGAATTCAATTAAAACTTTCCGGCGAAAATACATAGACGTGAGCGCAGCAGGTGATACTAAGGCTCAAATGTTTGGCACTCCAAGAGCAATTTATACTCCAGTTCCTGGAAGGCGCTCATCACTCTACCAGCCAACCACTTGAGACCCGCGATACCTGCCAAAGACAGGGCATTGGAAATTAGCCAAGTATTCGCCATTATCTTCATTCATAACATTCAAAACACCTGATAAGCGGCGCTTAACGCTGCGTATGAGCAACACCAGAAGCCAAAACAGGCCTCGAACTACGTTCATCATCCGAGGTGTCAATGATATGGTGTCGCTCTCGAGAGTCCCGATAAGTTTCCCGATTGGATAGAATGTTATAAAAGCCCAGGTACTGGCCTCAACATCGTTTAGTTTGTCTTAAATTTTTGAATCGAAAGGAAGTAACAAAAGGATTCAACATGCTGAAAGGTAACTAAGAGATCCAGATTCCTTGTGTCTAAATGGAGATAATTAAATATACATTTAGCATCTAGGATATATCTTGTTCTCAATATTAATTAAAAAGTTCATAGAACTTCATTTCAAGTTTAAAAAATTGGCATTATCTTAAAGTTACTAACCACAAATGCCCTTTGCAGCCCTCGTGATCTTCTTCGGCCTCTTGGCCCTAGCCATTGCTGCCTCCTTGGGCACCGCCAGAAGCGATGTCACCACCGTGTGCCAGTCCGAGGACGAGTTGTGGGGCAGCGAGGACATTCGCAAGTTCTACTTTTGCCTGGATGGCGAAGTAATTGCCGATCAGTGCGACGAGGACTATTACTTCGTGAACAATGCCACCGTCTCTGGCTGCCTGCCCGCCGACCTAATAAACCCCTCCTGCGTGAATACTGAGTCCAAGGTTCCCTCCTGCACCGATGGCACCCAGTACCAGCCTCAGCCGTGCAGCAACCTGACCAACTTCTACGTCTGCACCAACGAGGGCGTCAAGGAGCTGCCCTGCGAGAACGGCAAGGCCTTCGTGGATGCCGGCGGATACCTCGGCTGCTTCCCGTGGACCCAGTGGCGCTCGTTGCGCAACTGCACCGACGGCTGATTAATTATAGTTCTCCAGCGACCACTTATCGCGATTAAAAGTGTCCGAATTGAAATGTTATTAACTTAAAATTGATTGGAAAATAATTGATATATGAGCGGCGGTCGAGTAGGCAGCTGATATGATAAGGTACGACACGCATTGAGGCCTCATTTCCTGGATGGGCAGAAAACATCTACCAAAAATCGATTGACCATAAATCTTGGCCAAATACAAAATTACACGACAGCCGCAAAATCATTTCCAAAAGAAAATTCCACAGCAATCCCAATCAATGCACTTTGTCTCGGGTGCGTGCGTGTTGGTGATTGCCATGGCGAATGGAAGGATTGCCACTCTGAGGGTTCGTCCTTTGCGCAACACCGCAAAACAATTGTCGCCGCAAACTTTTGCGCAAAACAAACAACGACTGGCGAGGGGACAAATTACAGGGCCAAGGACCAACTGCAGGACATGCTCCTGGTTTTGCTGAACACATGTTTCGTCTGCCATTGCCGGCGAGTCCTTTAGAGGTCTTTGGACCCAGAGTTTCGGTATTAAACACTTGGAGAAGTTGGGAGTATAATTTGGGTGTTAAAAGAAATATTTTATTCAGGCAAAAAGCCTGGATATGACCTTGATAATTTGTTGGGAAAACTGTAAAGTTTATATCCACAATGTTCGTTTTATTCTTCTTTATGCAAGTATTTCTCCAAGTGTATCGTGTGCGTCGGGACTAAAAACGAGTTTAAAGTTCGATGCTGGTCTGGCATTAATCTTGCTGCTGTTGTGTGCCGAGTGCAACATGAAACCAGAAGTTGCCAATGATTGCATCAGCGGACCCAAAGGGGCTCACGTGGAGGAGATCTAGTGGGTCTTAGAGTGATCCATCCCGTGCTCCTCTTATTTTCTGGGTGCCCCAGCTCCCAACTCCCAGCGCTCTCTTTGATCACTCGCAGACCCATCCGGCTAGGTAATAAATGTCTGAGTGGTGGCCAGGCAGCGAGGGCAAAGTGTCAGTGACACGGAACTGCAGTTGCTCCCTGTGCTCCACTGCCTCACTGCCACCCCAAATGAGTTAGTCAGGAAATTGCATTATTTGTCTTTGGCCATTGCGGGCAAAAACCGTGTGTGCATAGTATGTGTGGCGGTGCCTGTGCCTGGACAATGCTGTGTGTGTGTGTGTGTGCCTCCCATGGGGCACGGCACTAACTAGTGTGGTTGCCACCCCTAAACCCACCACACAATTCCAGCACCATGCTTTTGCCACTGCTCGTTTTGCTGCCTCGCCAGCCACTTTAAATGGCGTGGCTATCTCCGGGCCTCGCCCGTCACACATGCGAGTTTTCAAACGCTCCAAAGTCACAGCAATCTTTCTGCTCCATTTCCGCCCACTCCTGCAGCTGTTGCCGCAGCTCCTGCTCCGGCTCCTGCTGGTGTGCTCCTTTTCCTAGCTCCTGTATGCCTCTGTTGTTGCATTTTAATTGCATGGATGCCTGGGCCGTTCGGGCCATTAATCCTGCACAAGTTTTGTGCAAAAATTGCGAAAGGGGATTTTTAAAGTCACAACTGTCGTATGTTATCAGCACACCCGGGGAGATTCACTCTCAGAGAAGAGTGTGTGCACTGCTAGGAAAATCTAATAATTGCCTTTAAAATGTTGGATCTAGATTTAAGTAAAATATAGAAAAAGAAGAAATCGAAATTTCCATTGCCAACTACCTTAATGTCTATCATAAATAAGTTTTTCTCGGCCTCCTGGGACCTTTTGAAGTGTGAAAATGCTCAGTGGACTGGCCGAGTTCTCGAAAACTCAGTGCGAACTTGGGCCTGTAGTTAAGAGTTGGACTTGCCGCAGCGGTGCTTGGATTTAATTGAGTTTACAATTGTTTTGTGGCCTGCGCTGGGCTCCTCAAGTTTTGTCAGTTGGCGACGTTGTTCTGACCTCTGACCCCTGGCCAAAATGTTGCTGCTTTAATTAAGTTTTTGGAGCTAAAAATCCAGCGGACAACAGGGCGCATACGCAATGTGCTTGCAGTTTTCACCCATTTTTTTTTATTTTTACTTCAATTGAAAGTCGCAACGGCACAAGGCATGAAAGTCCCGCGGCATGGGCATAATTGGCATTCTTAGACCTCCACCATCGAGTGGTGACAGTCGGCGTAGTCCTGCTCCGCCTCCTCTTTTTAGCCCCCCCCTCCTGCTGCGGCTTCCGTTGAATGATTTTTCAGTGCGCGCATTTCGCGCTTGAATTGTTTGCGTTGCACGGACAAGAGGGAGGCGGATGGCAAGGGGTTCGGAAAAGTTGGCTTAAACTTTTCCACTTGAATGGCAGCGGAAGGTTTTATGCGCCTCAGTACCAGTGGCAGCAGTGCCAGTTCCAGTTCCAATCCCCCGGCAGTGGGGCGACGACTCTTGTGCCCTATTGTGCTGCAGCGGCGCATGAAAGTATGCAGCATAAAATTTGTGCTCTGCAACAAATAAATATTTGACCCCAGCGCCCAGCAGGGTGCAACGCATTCCTCTCATCCTATTCAGGCGGCAGTGCTGTCGACATGGCCTTTATTTCGTACAGATCTGCCTGTTTTCTAGGGGATTTTCCTAAACAAATATTTTAAATATTTTAAGATGGCAGTTTTAATCATTTAGAAGTCTCTAAAAATATATAAGTTGGTAAATTGAAATATAAGTATTATTTTTAAATATAATTTTAGAGGATTCAAGGATGTTGTAAGGTTATTTTATTTTTGGGATTTATTTAAATCAATATTCTATTTCATGTATCCTCTTTTTTTTTAAATCTGTATTATCCATTATTAAGTTATTCATAAAAATTCCTATTTTTACCCACCTATTCCATTTCGAAAATATGTTTTTTGGCAACACTGATTCGAGTTCTTTCCCTCAGTTTACACTCCCCCCTGCATTTGAGTTCACGGCGCCGTTGAATTTATATTTGCACTTAACAACCAAGCAAGCAACAAGGAGAGGACCAGGACCTGGAGTAGGAGCTGGAACAGGAACAGAAGCAACAACAAGGACAACGACAACGATGGCGATGGCAACAATGCAACCGCAGCCCACCGAGGCACCACTTTCGAGAGGGAAAAGTTTGTTTGGCTTATTTTTCGGTTACAAATCAAATCCAAAATCGCATTAAAATTGCATGCAGCGGAAAAATTGTGCACCCAACCCGGCTAAGGGGTTGCGAAAGGAGCCCCAAATAACCGCGTAACCAGTAACCAGAAGCCGTGCCACAATAAGGACGACATCGAGTGCGGCAGGATCAGGAGGTGAGCAGGAGGGTGCTGCTGAAAGTGCTTATTGCTGTTGTTGTTCAAGACATTTGCTGCGGTGCTTGATTGTTGCGGTTGCCATTGCAATTGAATTTTTGCGAGACGAAATCACTTCAACGCCTTCGATTTCAATTTCCGCCACATTTCAAATTTGTATTCAGTTATTGCATTTTGCCCGATTCTGCATTCGTAATCGGTGCTTGGGTGCTATTCTTTTTTAGAGCAGGGGTTGACTACCCCTGTTTCCAGTTTGATTTGAATTCACTGTGCAAACAGCCAAAGTTACTCCTTAGATATTGATCGCGGGCATTGCTTACTTACAAGGACGAAAAGTAAACAAAGTTAAGGTATTTTGTGATTTTTTAGGTTTCGGTTTACTTCCTAAGGTTCCTGTTAATAAAATTATTATTTAGTTTCTGTTGAAATATTTCTTTAAAATTAAATAAAATTAATCAGTCAAGGATAAAACTCAAGAGCTTAAAATGAAATACAGACTCCACTTCACTTGTATGCCTTCGATCCTTTGGCATTCAATTTCTAATTACTCAGTTTTGTCATCTGCTCTTTCCCATTGTCTTTCTTTTCAGATTGCTTGCCTTCGCCTCGCTTTGATGCACCATTCCTTTCTCTTGCCGTGTGATTCGATTGCTTTGCGATTGGACACGCACATATATAGAGGTCCTTTCTCGCCTTTTCTTCTTCCCATTTCTGTATGTGGCTTTCTCCGCATCTGGTTACGTAAGGGACGAGGAGTCCCTTTTGGTGCCGCAACGGTAACCCGTTACAACATGGCCAGGCAGGCCGCAGGTTAACCCATTAAGGAACAATGGCCCAGAGAACAATCCGTGACTTTGAGAGCATAGCCTTTGACAGGGAAGGATATACAGAGACTTTATATCTAAAATAACTTTTTGATTGAATAGATTAAAGATTTTCCTTATTAAAAAATGTAAATGAAATATTTGTAAGATTTTTAACTAAGAAAAGACTTAAGATTTCAATAAGAAATGTATTTCTAGCTCCCATAATTTTCAAAGATTTAAAATGTATCTATCAACCCTGTTACGAGCTTATGTGAGCCGCTTAAGAGCGACATCTTATGGGTTAAACAAGTCGCAGGCCCGACCACAACCTGATCTAGGACTTTACAGCCTGCCTCTCCCGTTACGGCGGCTTTCCTGCAGTTGTTGCTGATGTTGCTGTTGCTGCTGTTGATGTTGATGTTGCCGTTTGCCGTTGCCGTGGATGGTCCTGGTTCTGGTCCTGTTCCTGTGCCCGGTCCTATCCCTGGTCCTATTTCTGTTGTTTGCTGTCACTCGAGGAGGACGAGGCTGTCTGGCTGACTGGGAGGCGGGCCCTGGCTGGAGCTGGCGTTGTAATGGTGAGGCATCAATATCTCATTTGTATAACATATCGCAGTCAATATGAGACACGTGTATAAGTATCTAGTTTACTTTGATGGTGTGTGAGGGGCGGTGGTTTTGTGTGTTTGTGTGTGTGGTATAGGGGTGCCGCTTTGGGTCCTGGGTGGCGTGGGTGTGGCGTCCGTTGCATGTCATTGTAATGGTATCATGCTGTAACAGATTTCTGTTTACCTTGATTTACATATGCACAAAGCGGGTGCCAGGGGAAAGGCACGGCAAACGCCGTGGCCCGTAAATAGAAAAGAAAACACTTAAGCATGCACTTAGTCTTTGCGCCTTTCACTTCGTGTCGATGGCGATGGCGATGTCGCTTTGGATCGGGATATACTATATGTATATATATCCGTAAGTACATGGGTGTGAATAAGCACATGTGTGCGGCGGCGTCGTCGTCTGTGTTGGCTGTGTTGTGTGCTACCAACTGCGATTTATGCAAATTTGTTTGGCTGCTGAGCCAAGCTCGACTGCTGTCGACTTTTTGTTAACAGTTTCTCCTGCTGCTCCTCGTCGTCTTCCTTCCTCTAAGCAAATAAAGTTATTTGCATGCGCAAGTAAATCGATTTGTGTATATCAAATTGTGGGGGAAAGGAGAGCTTCAAACACACAAAAGAAAAAGGACACTCGCACTTAAAGCGGAAAGCCAAATAAAAACAAAAACAAAGATTACAGCAGAAAATAAGGAACTAAATCGGGCTGAAAATGGATCATTAAATACCTGGCATTAATTCTTTGTTCACAAAATAAGTATTTCTGGCGTTTGGAAATTATTTTCTAATTAAAATGGTATATTTTTTTCTTAATTTGTAATCTTTAGTGAAAGAATCATACTTATTTTTACCATAAATATTCAAATAAACACAAATATAAATAAAGTATAGTCATTTTAAGTTGATATAGCTTCCTTAAATAATTGTTTAATTTAATTTAAATAAACAAAATCTAAACAAAACATTTATTCTATACCAAATTTGTTATATTTGATGTCTAAATTTTATAGATGATTGAAAATGTGTCTCTGGAAAACAAACCAGATTGCTTATTTATTTCCCACCAAATCAATGTTTTTCCTACGAATGTGTGGCATAAAAATGTGTGTGTTTTAAACTGATTGAATGCACACACTCGCTCGCTTTAAATTCAATAATAATTAATGCAAGTTTTTTTGCCCACTTTAATGGCGCTTGATTCCAAATTAAATTGGGGCACAAAACAAATTTTCGGCAATTACATTAGCGAGCGAAATAATACCCAGGACCGCCGCAAAGCGAGCTACACATTTTGTTTGTCCATTTGAGGGCTTTCAGCTGCAGCTAATTAAAAATTATTAAAACTAGCAAGCGAAGTTAAGTCCTTGGGGCTCAGCGCGTACCATGGACCATGGGAAATTGCCGTCATGTCAATTTACCAAATTGCGCAAACAAACAGAGGCCAAAAAGAGGGCAGGGCCCCTCGTCGCACGCCCCCGCCCACGCACATTTCGTAATTGTTGCACGTATGGCACCAAATCCTCGCGACCATCAACAGCCGGCGCATCAGCCTCCTCCCCGAAAGCGGCTTATGTCCTTGCCCAGCCTCCCGGAGCCCTCCAGTGCGCATAAATTAACCGGCACTCAGCCGGGGAAAAATCGGAAAGCGCTTTTTAATTATATTTTCGACAATTTGTTTCAATACATGCGTGCTCTGTGTTTTATTTGCGCGGCTTTGTGGGCGGTTCCTGCGGTTCTGTCCACTGCCAGTCCTTCCACTTCACGCACCGCCGCTCCCGGTCGTAGAAGAGCTCGTTGGCAGGACAACGACGCAGCTGGGCGGGCTGATCCCGATCTCCGCCGCAGTGCCAGTAGGCAGTGGGGTCCCAGAAGTGTCGGTAGCTCTGCTGCAGCTCCTCCGGACTGCGGCAGCTGGGCTCACCATTGTAGTCCCGTCCAGACATGGCTGCGGGTGAGATATTAGAGATTAGTGGGACTCGAGGATTGACTGTAAAGAAACATATTTTTGGAAAATTAATCCCCTTGAACGTATTTTATTCAAATAAACCTATCAAACTCTTAAAAGATTAATATTTTATTTATTTAAGTATATGGTAAGCAGGTTAAAAGCTTTGCTACTTGAACCCAACTTGGGTTTTATCTTCAGCAGACAAAGCCAACATTCGTTTGAAAAGTTTATTGGCTAACAAAACTTAAGCTTTAATCTATAACAAAATGTTTCTCGTTTTCAAAACAAGATGGTATTGTATTAAAGAAGTAAATATTTATTGCTTAAAAAATAAACTGACTGAGAACTATGAAGAATCAGTATTTACAAACTTAGCAGATGTATCAGTAATCTTAAACCCACTTTACAAATAATGCAAGTACTTGTCTCACGATCCGTATATAGTTGTCAAGATAACTATTTGCATTACTGTACGAGTTACAGCAAAAATATTTGTGTGCTAAAAAATTCCATTAGATAACTTATCACAGCAGAGAGATTACATGACTTAGCAACCCAGAAGATCAGATATACATTAACAAAACTACTAATTTTGTTGCATTTAAACTTTATTTATTTATTTCCAGAACCTCTTCAAGTCTTAGACAGCAGCCAAGGGCTCGCTGGGGGGCAGGGCGGTGGGTAACCAGTACCACTGGGACCACGGGACACAGCTCTTGACTTCATCCAACCAGGCCTGAGCGACTGCACACGAGCTGAGGGTGGCCGGAACTCCCAAGGCTTGGCAGCTCCAGTATGAGTTCTTCAGGTAGAAGTGGGCATAGTTCCGCACCGCCAGTTCCTCTTCCGTTTGGCAACCGGGCTGGCCCGTGGGCTTGCCCACAGCAGCTGCACTGCCCAGCGAGGCGCAGCCGAGCAGGAGAAGGACGACGAATAGAGGAAGGAACTTCATGGTGAACTGAGGTAGGCTTTCGATAGACTGACCTATGCTAATCCAAGGCCCGCTTTTTATACACTCTCCGGGCCATCACAATCTTATCGAGCGGAACTGAGGTGTGATGCTGCGGTCGCGATAAGCTCATCTGGAATCACCCCATCCTCTGTTTGCCATTTCGCAGGCAGTTTATGGCGCTGTTTGTTTGCCGCGATTGTTGTTTCTTCCGCTCGAGCCAGGTCCAGGTGGGTGCGGACATCCCACATCCCACCTCCCACATACCAAATTCCGCCACTCATCCAACGGCCGCCTGCTTGCATATTCATGACATCAACGACGGCAGCTGTAAATTATTTTCAGAGATAGCCGGGCAGGCCGCAAACAAGCGGAGGAGCCACCACGTTGTTGCCTTGGCCAGTGCCAGTGCCAGTGCCTCTGCCTCTTGCTAATTAATTCAAAACACTGCCTCAAAGGCATTTTTGGGGCTGGGCCAAACAAATTTCACCTGGCCTGGCTCTGCACAGAGAGAGAGAGAGAGCTCGCCGCCTTAAGCCATATTAGGTCCTTGTCCCGGCGCACTTGAGTAATTGCCGCACTGCACTGCGCTGCAGTCGGGCCTCCCTCCGAAGTTGGCTCCTTTGTTGCTCAGTTTTGCGGATTGGGCTTTTGTTAGTTTTGGGCCATAAATTAAATCGGGTTATTAATGTCTGCCATTAAATGAAGCTACCGTGGCTGGCTGGAAAATCCCTCTCTCTGTGCCGCCGCTGGTGATTTATGCTAATTCGTGCGGCATTTGTAGCATTTCCTGAGTATTTTGAGATTTTCAAAGACAAGGCCATTATTTTGCTTGCACGCAGGTAGAGATTTAAAGTGCCAAGTCTCTTTAAAGAGATTTTGAATATTGCGTATACGCAATATTAACACAAATGCGAAGGTGGATCATTCAGACTCCAATTTAAAGTTGACTCCAAATAACAAGGAATATACCCGTCGTATATATGGATAGATTTTTCCACTGACACTTCATTTTAAACATTCTTGCACGAAAATAAACCGAATGGCGGTGGAAAACAAAGAGTACAGAGAGCCTTCAATGCAATTAAATATATTGCGTATACGTCACGTATGCTAAAATTTTATTTCACAATTTTTACCCGCTCCTCTTGCCTCGCTGCTTGCGCTCCCGTGCGATGATGGCGGAAAATTCTTTTACATGCAAATATTTTGTTGGGGCTCACACGCACACACAACGCCAAAAGCGAGAAATAAAATTTCGATTGAAACGTATTTTTTCGCCGCTTATTGATGTGCTCGGCGGCCTGACAAAGCGTTTGACTGACAACTGTGAAATGAAATAAAATGCTCGCACAGAATGCACGGGCGAGCGCATCGAAAATAGTGCAACTTATTGCACTCGAGAGCGGGAAGAGTCCGCCAACCGTTGACTGGGGGAGCACGGCATGGCGCACAGGATACCCGGATACCCCTCGAAGCGGTATTGATTTATGACAAATGCTTTGGCGGCAACCGAAGCACAATTGCCGCCCGTTCGTTACAGGGGGCGTGCCCTTTCAGTCAGAAGCCACAACACGTTAACAATTGCAGCTGTAATTGCAACTGGCTATCACCAGATCATCACACGGCTGCCAAAAGAGCGAAAAGTACTGAGTGCCGCTGCCGCGAATCATAAATATGTATGATTCACGCCGGACTAGCCACCTGAGATATCCCACTTATCGCTCTCGCGGATCTTGCTCTTGACATTGCCCAGATAAATACCTCTTTGGAGGTAGTATATTGCCTCTCACATATTTTTGCACTCAGCTAAAGCAAACACACTAATTGACACATTCACATCGCTCGTCTTGGTAGCGTTGGATGCTCTACAAATAATTACCAGAATTGATGGGCTTAGTCAGCAGTTTAATTACCAACAGAAAACACAAAATGCTTATTGAAAATGACCACTTTTATGTTGCTTTCCAACGAACTAATTTTAGTTTCTCTGGGAAATGAGGTAACAGAAAAGTACAAATTTTCAAATTTGTTTAGATACAAATGTGTTAAATTTACATCAACAAATTAGCCCCAAAGAAATATTATGTATTAATATGGGCATAGATTTATTTATGTATCTAATCATTAATATTCGCTTAAATAATATCAAATATAAATAGCCATTAAAATTCTAAATTTTTATAACTAAACCCCAATGGCTTAGTAATTAGTTTATACACCAATGAATCCAGAACAAACAAATGCATTTAATATTCAAATAATGTGCGTTTCTCCTAATTATAAAAACAAAGCATATTAACATATTTTTGCATTACATTTTCCATTAATTTCCATTTTTTATTTAGGAAACACTTTAGTGAATGAAAAATTATTATATTTCAAATTAACCATGTATTCTTTTTCATTCACAAGGTCTTAGTCTTCACAACTAGGTGGACTTGTCTCTTATATTGGAAACAATTTCATAGCCACCAATTGACTTGCCCTTTAAATATTCAAAATATATAATGATTTTGGTTAGGCCACGAAATGGTACCATTGCACTATGGGGTTTTTGACCAGTTTTTGTGGCATTAATTAATAACTCGATCAGTTTTGAAGATATCGACATGAAGCTTTACCAATCATCATTATTTGTCCCTAGGCACATATAGTATGAAAATCGTTCGGATCAGGAAACTATATCCTATAGCTCCCATAGGAACGATCGGGTAAAAGTAAAGATAAATTAATGAAATTTAAGGAGCTTACATTTGTTGCTATTTTAACACGATATAGCAATTTTGAACAAAATCGGACAACGCTTTCCCTAGGAACCAAAATAACCAAAATACCGGAAATCAGTGTTTTTCCATACAAACAGCTACCAAATTGGCTCTGAAAACAGTGAGGTTATCTGACAAAAATTCAAATTGCAACAAAAGTGCGGAAAAGTGCACGATAAGACTAACTGCTTTTTGCTCAGAATTGACAACGCTACAACATACACTTGGACGCATTGAAAACTAATGCGAACTTCTATTTCAAAACTCTTCCCAAAGTTTAAATTTGTTTCTCAAAATTCAGCTTAAGGTGCATTTATAAAATGACAAAATGTCAGTATAAACACGCACAATTTAAACAATTAATACCTTTAACATGTAGTTAAAACCTGTGAAATCAGTGTCCATTAGTTTTTTCCTTTGCAAATTGTGTCTTATACGAATAGTTTAATTTCAAAGATCACTTCGTAAAAATTACAAACTTAGCAGACGCGCTTTCGGATGCAACAGCTGACTTTACAGCTCTGTTGCTAACATATGCTGTTAAGTATTAACATTTTGAGTATGAGGCATAACAGTTCGATGTTTTGTTAATACAATCCCACTATTTTTTTTTAAATTTAAGAACTTTTAAAAAATGATTAAATGCCACAAAAAGTGGTCAAAAACCCCATAGTGCATTGGCCACTTGTCAGCGGATATTGGCATGTTCTTAATATAGTATTCCCCCTTCTTCAAGCAATTATCGCCGCCGTAGGGAAAATTAGTATCGGCATTCGGTGGATAAAAATATTTCATGACGTAGTTTGTGTAGAAATCGAAAGGCGTCGACCGCGCCTTGAAATATGATTGAACCCATTCTCCATTTTTAAATGAATAGATATTCAACAATCCTTCAAAGTTCTCATCGAGGTCGACCAGAAGAGTCAAAGTGCCATTCAAAAGTCGCTCTTTACCAACAAGTCGAAGGTTGAACACCGCTAAGGTTTCTTCCTCTCCGGCGATATTTTTTATTGATTCCAATCGGACCTCTAACGTGGATTGTCCAGGGCACTGTCAATGTAAATCGTTAAGGATCGGTTATCCTTGAACATTTTTTAAACTCACCACGAAGACTGTCCACAGGAGCAGGGAGACCTTCAGCCACCGAGGAAACATTTTTATAATATAAACGCTTGAATTGCTTGGCTTCTTATATATAGAGTGTTGCATGTCCACAATCAGTTATTAGCTGGTATTTGAGTTCGATTTTATCTCAAAATAAAATACTCAATAGGGGCGCGGTTGAACTAATGCAAGATTTTTATATTGGCAGGCAATAAATAATAATTAAAGGAGGAGGAGTCTGTTTGTGATAGGCATATAAGAAAGATAAGAATATAGTTCTTGATTATGTATGATGTTTATAATTTAATCTTCTTGAAATTGGCAATTGAACATTTTATCAGGTTTCTACTTTCGTCATTTTAAAATATCTTCAAAATTTATTGTTTGCTTGCCTTTATTAACAGAAAATTGACATTTGCACATACAATATAAACTGTTTTTGTGTTTTGTTAGGTTGCCTTGTCACTTACAGTACAAATAAGTTCAAAGCCACCAACTCGCTTGCCCTCCAACGACTTCATGGATAGAACGAATTTGGTTAGGCCACGACCTAAAAACGTTGGCCAATCGACAACTGCAATTTGGATTTTTTTTAAATAGTATTCCCCTTTCTTCAAGCAATTATCTCCGCTGGTTGGCACATCAGTATCGGCATTCGGTAGAAAATAATATTTGTGAATGTACTTTGTGAAGATTTCGCAAGGCGTCGTTTGCACCTTGATATATGATTGAGCCCATTCTCCATTTTTAAATGAATAGAGATCAATCGTTCCTACATGGTGTTCATCGAGGTCGACTAAACAAGTAAAAGTTCCATTAAGAAGTCGCTCTTTACCAACAACACGAAGGTTGAACGCGACTAGGGTCTCTTCCTCGCCGGGGATATTATTTATATACTCCAATCGGACATCTAACGTGGATTGTCCAAGACACTGTCAATGTAAATCGTTAACGATTGCGTTATCCTTGAACCATTTTTTTAACTCACCACGAAGACTGTGAACAGGAGCAGGGAAACCTTCAGCCACCGAGGATACATTTTTGTAATACAAACGCTTGAATCGCTTGGCTTCTTATATATAGAGTGTTGCATGTCCACGATCACTAAATAGTTGGTATTTGAGTTCGATTCTATCAAAAGTGAAATACTCAATAAGGGCGCGGTTGATCTAATGCAAGATTTTTATATAAGCTGCAAAGTTGTTAAGTACTATAATATTTGCCAGAAGTTTCCAGCGTAGTAAGCAACCCTATAAAGTATATATATTCTCGATCAGAATCAACTTGTTATCGAGCATACTTGATTAGAATTTAAAGAAACAATTCCATTAATAAAAGATAGCAAATAAATTAAATAAAACAATAAATTTCAAGCATCACTGAATGAAATATTATTGTTTATTTTCAAGAATGTAGATAAAGTCACATTGTCAATATCCATTTCAGCAAGGTATTGCGCCCGGCGGACGACTGGGTGGCTCTATGCACGGCTTCCACACCCAGGCGGGCCATGGTACGCAGGCGTTAAGATCCTGTTCGAATCCTGTATTGGCCTGGCACTTCATGAGCGAGGCCTTCTGGCCAAGTGCGGAGCAGAGCCAGTACTTGGTGGGATCGATGCAGTAACGCTGAGCAACGCCCACCTCCGCCGGGTGCAGGCAGCCCGGCTCGCCCGTATCAACGCACTGCGAGCGGATCCGAAGCGGAAGGAGCAGCAGCAGCCAGAGGCAGCAGGCGAGTGGCCAGATGATAGCTAATCGGATAGAGTCAGTCTTAGTCTGGGCAGGATAAAGCAACCGGAATGGACTCACCTTGCGAGCGCATGTCGACGACGATGGGTGGTTCGTTGGGCAGTGACGGTGGTTTTTATAGGGCTCTCGCCTCAAGTGGTCGTTCTTATCAATCGCTCTTGATTGACTGCAGTTCGATGCGCCCCTCGAGGTCGCCACTTGTTTGCCCATCTCAGCAGCAGCACCCACTTGGGAATGGTCGAGGGTGACAAAGCCGAGACAAAGGACATGTGTCCGAAACGAGATTTAGCAGGAAACTTCAATGCAATTGGCAGTGGAAAGTAACGAGAAAAGGGCGAGTAAAAGGCGGAAGAGGGAACAAAGCAGCAGCTTCATTTTCCCATTCTTCTTCTTCACTGGCCAATTTCGCAGGACATGCCAAATGCATTTCCGGCTAACACCACACACACATACTCATTCAGGCTAGTTACTGAAATAACAAAAGTCACTGCCATTGGTTTCTGTCTAAAATAGTTTGCTTTCTTTTCTTGCGTTGCCATCGACAGGCGAAAAATAATAAATAAAGGAAAAGTCCGCCAGTAAATGGAATCCAAAAAAGATTAACAAATCCTAAAAAAAAAAAACATACTTACATAAGTATTATGTTTTCAATTTCTTCTTCTTTAATTTTAAAATTAAACATTTCATCATTTCTTAAAATAGAATTCAATTTGTCAATAAAAGGATGGGCAAGGATTTTAAACAATGTTTCTACCTTCGGCGTTTTAAAATATCTTTATAATTTATTGTTTCTTTATTTTTTATAATTTTATTAGGATTTTTTGTCAGTTACGATACAATTAAGTTCATAGCCACCAACCTTCTTGCCCTCCAACGACCTTATAGATACATCGGTTCTAATAAGGCCACGACTTACATTCATTGGCCAATTGTCAAAGGGAACTGCAATTTTTTTAAAATAGTATTCTCCTTTCTTCAAGCAATTTTCTCCGCCGTAGGGCAAATTAGTATCGGCATTCGGTGGGAAATAATATTTCCTGAGATAGTTTGCGACAAAATCGCCGGGCTTCTTGCGCTTTATATGTGTTAGAACCCATTCTCCATTTGTAAAAAAATAAACCTCTACTGCTCCCTCATAGTTATCGTCGATGTCGACCAGAAGGGTCAAAGTGCCATTCAATAATCGCTCTTTACCAAGAAGTCGAAACTTAAACAGCGCTAAGGTCTCTTCCTCTCCGGCGATATTTTTTACCGAATCCAATCGGACCTCTAGTTTGGATTGTCCAGGACACTGTCAATGTAAATCGTTAAGGATCGGTTATCCTTGAACAATTTTTTAACTCACCACGAAGACTGTGAACAGGAGCAGGGAAACCTTCAGCCACCGAGTATACATTTTTGTAAGTCAATCGCTTTAGTCGCTTGGCACTTTTATATAGAGTGTTGCATGTCCACGATCACTAATTAGCTGGGTTTATCTGATTTTGATCCGATCTAGAATAGTACTCGATGCGGGCGTGATTGAAACTTATGTAAGGTTTTTGGATACCTGGCTAGAGTTAACTACCTTATTTTTATACCTTTGCAGGGTATTCTAGATTTAATCCAAAGTTTGCAACACAATGGGGGAGTTATTTTCGACCCTATAGAGCTTATATTTTTGATCAGCCTTAAAAGTCGCGTTTTTCTAGGCATGTCCGTATGAAAAAAATTTAAAAATTTTTTAAATTTTCAAACATTTTGATTTCATAAACTTTTTAATTCAGTAAGCAGATTTGTAGACAATTTAAAAACTAGCACAGAAACTCTGTCAAAGAACTATTTAGATCATAAAGTATAATTTTAAAGTATACAATTTTAAATTAACGCGCGAAATGTTTCGCTTTCTTCGCATCTGGCAATGCTGGTTACTAGAGTGCTGCCATGTTTTTCGTTTCCTGAAATCTCGATAGGTGTTTTAGAGTATATCGATACCTTGTGGACCGGCGGACCCATCTCTAGGTCAGGTGCAGGATAGCGTGACCGTTTATGGTATATATTAACGGCCAGAACGCGGTCACACTGGTGCAGAAATTAGAAATAAATTAAGTAATTGTGCGGAATAAAAACGAGCGTGCGGCCGATGCGATAACCGCGACGCGACCCACCACACCCGCACACCGCCGATTCCGCGCCGACATGCAGCGCCGCAGCCGCCGATCACGCAAAACGCAGCAGCAGCAGCAGCACCAGAAGCAGAAACAACAATAGCAGCAGAGCCACACAAACCGCAGTGTAGTGACAGAATCAAATCTAATTATAACAAAAAGAAAGAAAAAGTGCAAGCCGAGCCGCACACACATGGGCACACACCCGCACTCGGACCCACACACGGACGGCGCTTAATTAGTGGCGAAAAACTAACGATTTTCGGGGCAGCGGCAGTGGCAGCGCAGTAGCTGCGCAGCGGCAGCGACGCGGCAGAGGCAGTGTCATCTGAATTTGGCCAAAATCCCAAAAGTAACGTTATTTCGAGCTCGATCACCTTTGGCAAGGATCCACACCAGCCCACATGGGCTGAGGACAGGTGGCGCAGCAGGTGCAGCAGCGGAGGAGCAGAGCAGCAGCCGCAGCAGCGGCGGCGGCGGAGGAGCTGGCAGCAATGGCCAACCAACTGGACGCCAATGTCAAGGACGACCTAAAGACGCAGTTCGTCACCCGCGAGGGCACCTACCGCCTGCTGACCCTCTCCGAGTACTCACGCCCCAACCGGGTGGGCTACAGCAGCAACCAGAGCTCGCCGCAGGTGCGCGTCTCCATGGTGACCCTGCCCAATCCCAGCAAGCTGGGGGCGGAAACGGGAGCGGGCTCGCCCACTGCAGGAGCGGCAGTGACAACCACAACGAATGGCGGCACAACCACGCCAGCAGCCTCGCCCACGGGAGGAGCAGGAGGAGCATCTGGAGCCACTGCTACTGGAGGAGCAGGCGTCGGAGGTGCATCAATAACGAATGGCGGCGCCGGCGGGGATAGTAGCTATAACCACACCAACAATACCAATGCTGGCAACAGCACAGTGGACGCCCGGTTGGGCGGCGGCATCTCCATGCACTCGATGATGAACGGCGGCGTTCTCGACCAGAATGGAGTGGCCACCAACCAGGTGATAGGAGGGGATCGCATCTGCTTCAATTTCGGTCGAGATCTCTACGTCTACTCCTTTCGTGGAGCCAAGAAGGTGAGATGTAACCTCAGAACATGACGTGGACAAGGTTGAGATAGAATAGGAGGAGGTTGAGCAGCGGGGCGGGCTTATCATCCGGAGAGGCAGAGAGATACAGAGGCAGAGATAAGCGGCCCTGCAATTGCATTCCAGGCGGATTGCACCAGCCAATTGGCACTCACTTGGATACCTTCCCATTTGCATTCAGAGTGTCCCCCAGCGGGCTTAATTTGTTCCACTTCGAGCGCTTGATGATCAATTCGCTTGTTTGGCGTTTTTTATGAATGTTTATTGCGCCCGAAGGCAGCCAGCCAGCCAGATTACTCTGCCATTCGGTTCGCACCTTGCGTAATCAGCTGGAAGATGCCCTAATCTCTGAAAAACGTGACCAATTAAGGCCAGCCGAAATCTCCAGGCTAGAGCATTTGCTGTTCGACTTGCTCATCGCCTTGTTGCCTTGTTTACCTTCCCTGCCCAGCAGCTGTTTCTAATTCTTTGGCATTCTTTTCAAGCAAACAGCTTGCAATTTTCTTTTCGTATTTATTTTAGCTGGCTTCTGTGTTGCCATCGTTATCCGCGTAAACTTGGCACAGAGCTCTGTCTGGCCTAGAGCATTTCCCACCTGATTCCGCCAACAAGCCGCTAATTTCCATGCCGCTTCCACATTTCCAGAATGTGTTAATTTCAGAGATTATTTCAGTAAACTTTTGTACAAAACTGGGGAACAATCAGACTCATTCCTGATTTTACTTTCACTTTCACTGAATTCGGGATTGATATTAGAACGGAATTAATATATTATTTTATTATTATATTGTATATATTAATATATATATAAATATTTATTTAAAGCGATTGTTAAGCTATCATAAATTAGTGTCCTTGATTTAATTTAAAAAAGTCTTTATGGTTTTATGAGATATCTTTTGAATTTATATCGAAACACTTAGAAATATATCGAAAAAGATCGATATAAATTCAAGGGACGATAACTAAGAGACCAATAACAAGGTTTCCAAATTAAAGAAAATGATTTTTAACGTATTGAAGTTGCAGCATCTCAAGAAATCGTTTGATCTTGACTTTCTTCTGGAAAAGGTACCTTTATTATCAATATTTTAGGTAGCAATTTTTATATTATTTTGAGCGGGCTTTTCCTCTCGATATACATTCCCTAGATTCCTCCTAGTCAGCCTTATCTGAACTTGACTTCCTCCCACTTAGAAATAGAACAAATATATTGTGCAAGACAGGGCGAAGGCCCAGATAAACCCAACCAGATGATATTGACGCTTGTTGACTCTCTTTTTTCCAGGGCACCGAGATGAGCAAGCCGATCGATAAGAAGTTCTACAAGGGCACCAATCCCAGCTGTCACGACTTCAATGCGAGCGCAGCCACGCCCACGGGCGCGCCCCTGCTGGTGGGCTTCACCACGGGGCAGATCCAGTTGGTCTCCCCGCAGGTCGGACCCCGGGAGGTGAGGAAGCTCTTCAACGAGGAGGTAAGTAGCACAAAAGTCACTTATTGGAACAGAATAACAAGGATTTTCCTGTAGCGCCTGATCGACAAGACCAAAGTGACCTGCCTGAAGTGGCTGCCCAACTCGCCACACCTGTTCCTCGCCGCCCACGCCTCAGGTCATTTGTACCTGTACAATGAGGAGCTGCCCTGCGCCGCCACGGCTCCCAGCTACCAGCCCTTCAAGCTGGGCGACGGCTACACGATACTCACCTGCAAGGCCAAGTCCACGAGGAACCCGCTCTACAAGTGGGTCTTCAGCACTGACAACTGCTGCGTGAACGAGTTCTGCTTCTCGCCCTGCGGCACCCACCTGGCCGTGGTCTCCCAGGACGGATTCCTGCGCGTCTTTCACTACGACACCATGGAGCTGCTGGGCATTGCGCGGTCCTACTTCGGCGGCTTCTTGTGCGTCTGTTGGTCGCCCGATGGCAAGTACATTGTGGTGGGCGGCGAGGATGACCTGGTCACCGTGTGGTCCCTGCAGGATCGTCGGGTTGTGGCCCGCGGACAGGGTCACCGCTCATGGATCTCGGTGGTGGCCTTTGACCCGTACACCACCTCCTATACAAACTGGGATGGAGGCGACTTCAGCGACGATGAGAATCAGATGAACGAGTATTCCAACTCGCGGGAGGCTCGCTTCTCCGGTGACTCGACGGCCAACGGTGGCTTCGACGGCTTCGATCGCAACTCGACGCCTGTGCATGCTGCTCGGAATCGACCCCACTCCGCCTCCTTTCGCTCGGATGCCTCGTCGGCGGACAAGCTGGCCATCAGCTATAGGCTGGGCTCCGTCAGCCAGGACACGCAGATCTGCTTGTGGGACATCACGGAAGATGTGCTGCGTCATCCGCTGGCGCTGAGGCAGCACGTGAACAGCGGCGATCGGGGCTACCTCAACGGTACAGGCGGCCTCGATGGAGAAGCGGAAGCAGACGGGGACGGCGTCAAGCTAATCCGACCAGTTGCCATGGGCCAGCCAAGTGGCCAGCAGGCGGATTCCGGTAGCTGCAGCCCCACAAGGGAAACGGCGGGTGGAGTGGCCGGAGGGGGAGGCGGAGGAGGGAACGGTGCCGGCGAGCACAGCAATAGCAGCTCTAGCAAGTTCTCCACCGCCAACTGCACGATGTCGTCGCAATCCTCCCCCGACGACTGCGATACGGAAGCGGCCACCCCAGCCTCAATGTCCTCGAATGCAGGAGCGTCGTCCTCCTCAACGAAGCTGAATAGTCGCCACCAGGGAACGGGAAACTCCATCAAGTTCCCCAACTGCATAAGCGCCACCAAGTCGGATAGCATCGAAGGCAGCGGGAGCGGCACTGCCCAGCGTGCCTCCCAGGCCACCTCGGGCTACAACAGCAAGACTTCCAACAGCTCGACCAAGTCCTCCTCCGGCTCGGGCAGCGGTTTCAGCGCCTTCAACAGCCTAACGCAGCGGCTATCGAACTTCAGTTTCCTGAGCAGCTCGGACAAGAAGGCGGGAGTCGAGGGCGGCAGCCACTCCACGGCGCACCGCCAGCACCGCAAGGCCATGAGCATGCTGAAGAGCTACAATCAGCATAACCACAGTAACCACAACCACAACAACCACAGCCAGAGCAATAACAGCAGCTCCTCCATTCTGGAAACGGGGGCGACCGCGGCCATCGGGAGTAGCTCGACGGCGCACAGCTTTGGTTCGCTGAAGCTCAGCCGTTCGTCGCACCACTCCTCGCTGGCCGCGGCCGCCCAGTCGTCCGGATCGGGAGCGGGATCGGGATCGGGCGTGAGTAGCTTTGATCCCATGCAGCTTATCGGAACGCCCGCCTGTCCGCGCTTCGACGAGTGCCCGCTGTTGGAGCCGCTGGTGTGCAAGAAGATAGCCCACGAAAGGCTGACGGCGTTGATATTTCGCGAGGACTGCTTTTTGACGGCGTGTCAGGATGGGTTTATCTACACCTGGGCGAGGCCGGGTCATGCCGCGGTAAGTTGAAATAACCTTTATTTATTTTTGTATAATTTACGTATTATTTTATATATTTTTTAGCACGCCACACAGCACTTGTCGCCTGGTCAGACGGCGGCGGCGCCCGGCAGTACGGTAATTTAGTTCAATAAAGTGGACTTGGTCAACTATCAGCGTAATCTTGTCAAGCAGCAGCGGGAGCAGCAGCAGAAGCAGTCGGTGATCTAGGTTAAAACTAGGCGATTGATTTTCGATAATTTATTGATAGGAGCAAGAGTTTTAAAGGTTTTTTATGTTGCGTATTTTGTATTCCAAATGTAGCCTAAATGAGTTTATGAACCACAAACACTTACACACACACACACACACCCGTAATATATATATATGAATATATATACAATATAGCTATGTACAACATAACTACGATAATATCTATACGCAGCAGCATCAGGCAACAGAACAAAACGTATATGTTTAGCTCTAAATTATTAGTTGTAAATGTATTATTTTTTTAGTACGTGGAATTTGTTGAAAACAAAGCAAAGCATGTTTATAACTATTTACTAAGCGCTAGCCTACACTCTACACATAATAAAAAATAAAGCAAAAGAACGAAGGAGCCACACGGCATTAGCGAGCTGAAAATAAAACAGAATCAAACGATCGTTTGGAGGATCTAAGCTAGCGATTTTTCACACTGTGCTATGTACTGAGTTGCAGTCGAGAGGCCCCCCAACTAACCAACGACGAACTATCTAAACTATGTAAAACTCACGAAACTAACCTAAAGTAGGAGCTGTTATCATTACTATTACTACGGATTCGTATGCCTTTTATTTTTTGATGCAACCGAACAAATTAGACTAAATGCAGAGACAGGAAACGGAAACGAAATCTGAAACCCGTAAACACCAAAAACAAACATTTCATACACAACAGGCAACCCCCTTTTGGAGCTGTCAAAGCTTTGATGGTGGTATCCCAAGTATCGCGGGTTAGGATCTACATTGTATGGTTTGAAAATTGTTGTTGGTATCATGTCTTGTTTTAAATATTTCCTACTAAAATATTGTTAAGATTGAAGACAAGCCACACTGAAAAAACAAAGTAAATTACAGACTGTAACTTGCTTTTTAATATATATATTTTTTTTTTACTTTTAAATTTTCAAACAAATTTTCAAATACTCTTTAGTTTTCACCTGTTTTTTTATGATGAATATCCCTTAATTTCAAAAGGTTTTATAAGTTGATATGATCGCGATAGTATTCAGCTTTGTTTAAAGTATTTTCTTTAGTTTTCAAATCTTGTATATCCTGAATTTCATAAATTATAAGTTGATCCTGTCGGTGGTACCACTATCCTTGCTTTGACAATTCAAACTCCGCACACAAATATTTTATAACGAACAAGAACGAAAACTAGCGGCAATTTGCGGATAAGTTAACAAAAGAGCAGAGCAAACAACCAACAAGAACACGTTACCGTAAAAAGAGACTAAACTTTCAATAAAATTATATAAAAAATTAAAAGAAAATCAAACTTTCGAGCGAAATGAAGTGTCAATGGAAAACGGCAGAGGCTGGGTCGCTTTCATAGCTCATATTTATTTATAAAATGTGTGTTTGTTGCTAACAAAAATAGGTTTCTCTTGCGCGAATCTCACCAAACCAAGGAGAGGATTTCACAAGCTGGAAATGAGTCGCCATTAGAAGGTCTTGGGCACCTCCAGCACCTCTGCCTTCGTGAAATACAAGTGCTTGGAGAGCAGAAAGGCAAACAGTGCCTGCCCCGCCACCACCATGAACAGGAAGTACAGCTTGCGCTTCTTCCCGCCGCTGTAGTCCAGCTGCTGGGGATTCCCATAAGGATCGTAGTTAATGGCGCCGCTTGGAGCAGCCGGAGAGTTGTCCTGGATCAGCTTTGTCCGCAGAGTGCGCAGCTAAAAAATAAAAAAAGAGGTAAGTTCCAGTATTCCAGAGGAATACAATTCCCAGCCTGCGCTCACCAGAAAGAAGCCAAAGGAGAAGCTGGTGTAGGCCAACGCTATATAGTAACCCGACTTGAAGAACAGGGTGCTGACCATCAGGCAGAACACAATGCACACGTACTTGTAGCCCGTGAAGGCCAGCAGGTCCAGCGTCTTGAGACTCGTCTTCACATTCATTACGTACAGGGCTATGGAGTAGATGACCAGCTCAAAGATGCTGTAGGCCATGGCGCTGGACGCCTGGATGCCCAACTGCTCCGGTGAGAAGCGCTGCTGCATGCCCAGCAGCAGGCCGGCCACGATCACGTACGTGATGTAGCCCATGGTGGGCAGATAGAGATCCGGAGCATTGACATCGTAGCGTGGCTGAACCGGATGCTCTTGGTCGTACCTCAAGGACCAGTCCTGCAGGCGAGATTTCAGGATTTGGTCAGTACTTCAGGCCATTAAAATTCAGGACCCACCTTGTGGATGTAGGGGAAAAAGAGCAGCCGCAGCTTACGACCCACATAGGCGTTGTCCACGGCGAAGTAGTACTTCAGCTTGGCCACCGGCACCCACTTCTCGAACTGGTTCTCCACCAGCTGCTTGCCTTGGTCCGCCAGCCGCTGGCCATACTGCATGGCCATGTCCTGCACGATGGGTTGCTGGAACATGGCAAACTGTGGGTACTGGCCAGCGGGCAGGGGACCAGCACCTGACTGAGGAGCGCCCATCCCGTAACCGGGTTGAGCCGGCCCCGCCTGCTGTGTGGGCGGTGGCGCATATCCGAAGCCCGTCTGCTGTGGCTGCTGCTGTGGTGCCTGCTGCATCTGCTGCGGCTGCTGGGCGGGATTCAGGTTGAAGCCGTAGCTGTTGGCCTGCGCTGGAGCCGGTGCTCCGTACATCGCATTGGGATCGAGCATTGGAGGGTTGGAGGGCGGGGCCATGAAAGGGGAACCGACGCTGCCCATCATGGGAGCCGAGGGACCCATGGCATTCATATCGCTGACACGCTTCGTGGGTCGCGGGCGACCGGCAGCTTGTGCTATTTTGGGTAAGAGCAACTGGCGGTTAGTGGCGGAACAGGTGGAAAGGGGGGCAAAGCGGGGGAACACAGGCAAATCAAGCTACACACGCAGCACAGAACAGAAACACGCTGGGGGCGAGCACAGAAATGAGGAAGGGGCACGGCAACGGCAGGCACGGGAACTGAAACGCAACGCAACAGAAGGAAACGTGAACGTGGCCAGCTGCGGGCGCCCACCGGCTCCAATCCGGTCCGGTCGGCGGGCGTGCGGTCGGAGGAGCCGCATCCGGAGTGGCGGCGGAGCGCTCGACTGGCGGTATACTTGCTTGCGTAGCCTGATCCTTACAGTTCTCCCACTTACGGTTCCGCATACCCGCGTTCGGATTGTAGTTCATGCTGCTCCACTGGCTGTCGGGGGCTCCAATTGGGTGGCTTATCGTATAAGTGAATTATATTCAAAATTTTGGTTTTTACACATCACCACATAGGACCAGTGGGACCGGAGTATTCAAATAATACCATCATTCTCGCAAATATACCAGTTGGCGCTGCCAACCCTTTTTCCGGTCTCTAGGCCCTTAAGACTACATAGTCTGGCAACTCTGCGCTCAGATTCGATAGGTTCGATAGGTTTTTTTCGGTTTTGAGCGCATTTCGTGACGACAGCAACAACAAAAACAAGAAATCAAATAAATGTAATTAAATGGATGGAATTATCAAACGGCGTTCGCTGACGCTCAGTACGCGCCTGCTGCAGAAGCGTCACAGTGGTAAGTGTTGGCTCCATATGTGGCGGACTGCCCAGTAATCGGGAATTTTCCTCCAGCCTCGCCCCAGAGCTGCGGGCGCCCAGGAAGCGGAGGCGGACAAGATGTGAGCTGCTCCACGGAGACACCCGGCTCTCCCACCTCTGCGGTCAGCATTGCAGACGATGTGGAGGGCACACCGCCGCACAAGCGGCATCCCAGCCTGGACGACAGCGTGGACTTCTCGCCGCGCCTGGATGTCAGCCTGTCGCCGCACTGCCTCTTCTCGCAGACGCTGGCCATCGAGAGCCCCGAGGTGGGCTGGCGCTGGAACCGCAGCAGCAACGCCACCACGGACAGCGGCTTCGACTCGGCGGAGCTGAGTGTGCGGGACCGCCGCCGCCAGATCACATTCAAGGGCTGCGAGGACCGACGCAGCCAGATGGACAACAGCCAGTGGCGGGCGCAACAGATGCGGGCCCGGGATCTGCTCAAAGAGCGCTGTGACAAGCTGCATCGTCAGCTGGACCAGGTGGTGGTGTCGGAGGAGGTGCCCACGCCTGCTCCTGTGGCTGCCCGAACCAGATCGGCCAGCAAGAGACCTTCACCGGAGCCTGCGCCGGCCCCTCAAGCACCTGATCCCATGGCTGACTTCCTCAATGACTCGGAGACGGATATGTTCCTGATGGAGGCCTCGCAGCAGCTAGAGTCCCAGCTGGTGGCGCAGGAACCACCGAAGCCAGTGGGCACCACACCGACCAGTCACCACAAGGCCAAGCGGCCATCGTTCTACATGAAGTTTCTGGAGGACGAGAGCGAGAGCGAGGACTGGCTGAGTGCTTTGGAGGAGGCAGTGCAGCAGGCCACCATGCCGGCAAAGAAGTCGCGAAACTCGCTGCAGCGCTACAAGTCGATGCCAACGACCGGGGATACGTCCAGCGGAATCTCCACACTAACCAATGTGATGGCCGGCAGTGGACCGGCTACCTGTACAAGTGCCTCCTCCGCTTCCGGATCTGCGCTGGTCAATACACCGCGCATCAAGCGGCATGCCAGCTCCCACGCCCTGTCCCCGGCCACGTCGCACGGTGAGTCTTGACAAAAGTTTATTCTAGGAGAGTTTATCTGTAATTTGTTGCCTCTTTCAGCTCGTGGCAAACTCTTTGGCAGCCGGAAATGAAAGGCTAGGACACGACACGGCTAGGAGACCAGAGCCAGCTTCCCCGAATGTGATGAGAGCGTGGATAGGTGTTAAGTATTTTGGTTTTGTTCCCATTTTTTTCAGTTTCATTGCTTGTTTTCCTTGACCGCTCGCTAGAAAGGCGTGCACGCTAATTGATTCATGCAGCTGCCAAGCGTCTTTGTAAATGTAAATTTAAGGCTAATTAAAAATTAATTGTAATTTAAACCGGGTCCCTCAATTGCCGCCTAGAATGTCTGCTTTGTCTGTTGCTTGTTCGGCGCATGCGACCCGCCATATGCTCGGCATTATCGGGCCGGGGATGCGCCGCCCACCACCTGCACAGGTGGCTGCCACTGGCCACTGACGGAGCCAGTCTGTGTGTAGTGCCCCCCCTCGGCTAAGCTTTCATTCACCGATGATAGGGTGTTCATTGAGTGCGAGAGCGTTTTAAATTAATTGAAATGTTGGCAGTGGATTTTCAGTTTTATCCCCCCTTTTAGTGGCCCTAAAAAGGTCAGATCGAATTTAGCACGGCTTTATTTTGCTTGGGAAGTGACATTGTAACTTCAAAGTTCATAGGATTACATTATTTTTATATTTCTCTGGGATTGACTTGCATTTCTCGAAGATAATTTAGGTTTAAGCCAAGTATTGTTATTTTTTAATTACCTAAAAATCGGTTAAATATTTAAGAAAATTGTTATTAAGAATGAAGTAAAAGAATAAGAGACTAATTAATATTCAAACTATTTCTTAAGAACGGAAAATAAATGGAAATGGAAATAAGTACAAAAATATCCTAAACTCGCACAAAAAATATTTAACTAACTAGAAACGCTTAGCAAATTAAATTTAATGATTTTTTTACTTTGTTATGGTATTTTGAGACTTTGATTTGGCAGAAAAATGATCGTTTAAAAATATAAATATTTATTTATTTAAAGAATTAAAATATTTTAGGTCTTCTTGAAGGATATTTATTGGTTTATTTAGTAAAGCAGTCATTTCCGACTCTATAAACCATATATATTCTTGATCAGCACAAACAAGCGAGTCTTTCTAGCCATGTCCAGATCAAAAGCATTTTTTTCAAATTTTTTCAAAACTTTATAAGGGGTTACATCGTTAAAATTCTCAAAAATGGCCAAAAATTTAGATTTCTTAAAATTTAAAATTAAGTATGCAGATTTGTTATCCTATTAAAAACTATCATTGAAAAGCTTTCCGAATCGAAATGACTAGTTTTTTGGCCAAGTTATGATGGATTTTTGATTAAGTGATGATCCTAAGGCCAACTTATTGCTTCCCCAAGTTAGTTTCCTTTCTTGTTTGAAGCTTAATTTTAATATTTATGGTTCAAAATTTAAAACCAATTTAAAGTTTTCCAACATTTATTGTAGTGTTTATTTGCCCTTAGTCAATTTCCCGAAAAGTTCATAAATTCAAGTTGAAAATGTGTTGGCTTATCCGGCAAGGGGATTTCCCAGGGCAGAGAAGGAATTTATGGCAAATGAAATCAAAATATGAGAATTCCCATCCGCACTTAAACGCCGCCGCTCCGTTAAAACAATCAAGAGAATTGATGCCAACCGAAAAGCCGGCGAAAGTTGTCTTGGCTTCGGGGCTGCAGTTTAAAGGCTTGCTGCTGCTTGGGCTTGGGCTCTGGGCTCTGGGCTTTATGAACCTATTTGGGCTAAGGTCAAAGTTGAAGCCCTTTTGCAGCCATTACGCGTAAGAGGCAATTGCTTTCATGTTTATGGATAGTCGACGACGTCTTCGTCGTCGTCCCTACGCGACCTGCAATGAGGAGCAGGCGAGGCGACAAGCTGCCATATGTTGATGGAGCGCAGCATAAACCAATGGCAAGGCAGTTGCTAAAATTTAGCACCAAGCGACAGGGGGGCTTGTGGGTGACAGGGAAGAGGAAGGAGCAGCCCCCCAAAGTGGTGACGTCTAAGGTCCGCGGAAACCGTTGCAAAAGCCAAGCCAGCCGGGATGGAAAGTCTAAGTCAGTGGGAAAAGCCAAAGCGAAAGCCCAGCTGGCATAGCTCAGTAATTTTTGGCTGTTCAGAGGCGTGGTCAAGGGGGTTTCAGGGGTTTGGAAAAGCTACGAATAATTCCTACTAGAAATCGTATAAAAATTTATTTAATCTCTCTCAAAAATGAACTAATTATAGCAAAGAAATTCCACCAAAAGTCAGGGGTTCTTAATAAAATATATATTCTATAGGACATCCCCTTCTGTCAAAACAAATAACGCCCCTGCCTGTGAGAGCGGGACAGCAGCTGGCACGCTTCGGGGGTGCGTTGAGTGGGTGGCAGGCGGGTTGGCATTGCTTTGTAAGCTTTCGAGCGAGCTTCCTTGGCCAAGCTTTCGACTCGGCTGCGGCGCCTGGCGGACATTCATAATGGCGTCCGTCGATTCCGGCGACGAACAGTTCTCAGCGCGCAGCGCCCCAGTGAAGTTCGTGGCAGCGCACAAAGAATCCCGACCAGCAGGCCGAAAGCCCCAACCCCCACCACCAGTGGAAAGAGGCTAAGGGAGAGCACAACAACAAGAAGCACTGGAGAGGAGCCCGAAATACACACACTCGGCAGAGGCAAAAAGGAAAACAAATCGCAAACCACAACAAAGGCACTTTTCAGGACCACTGTGATCATTGCTGTTCAAGAGAAAAAAAGGACATATATATCAAAAAGAAAAACTCCAGCGTGTGCGACGAAGCGCGTCCTTTCGACACCTACTGACGACAGCCCACCACCAGCACCGCCACCCCCGGATTTCTTGTTTTGTTGGGCTGCCAGTGTTGCCCCATCGTCGCAGGAGCCAGCACCACCAGGAGGACAAGGACTCGCTTCACTCTGAAACCCATGGCAGCAGCCGCATGGAGCTGTCTGCTGAGCGCCGGGCTTCTGGCCCTGTTCCTGCCCCTCCAGCTGGCCAGCGCCGGAGCGGGAGCGGGAGCAGGCGGCGGGGGATTAAGCGGTCCATCCGTGTTCACCAGCTCCTTCCTGGTGCGCTTCCGGCGCGGCGTGGACAACGGATTCGCCCATCAAGTGGCCGACAAGTACGGCTTCGACAACCTAGGCCCGGTAAGTGGACTGTGTGCGAAAAATCAATTATTATATTGCCGTCGGCTCGTGGTCTGTGCCAGGTTGCTAGCAGCGTTTCGAGGGGGCGCAAGTTGGGCTGTTAGCAGGAACAGGAGCAGGAGCAGGTAGACAGGCTGCAGTTGTCAGGCGAAGCGCTAATTGTGTCTGCTCGACTGGCGAACGTGTTTACGTGGCAGAAGCGTGCTTGGAATGCCAGGGCAGGAGCCCAAGTTTTCGGCTCTGGCATTGGCCAACTTCCGACGGCCGAGCGGGGTTTCCGCTGCATACTGCCAGGCGCATTGCATGATAAACAGCCATTGCATTTCGGGGCAAGGTCAGAGAGAGAGAGTGGCAAATAAAAGGGCAAAAAACTAGTTACACAGGGCAAATAATTAAGTCTTAGTTGGTGAGGATTTCCTATGTATTCTTGTCTTGATGTTTTTAAACAGTGTTTTAAAAGTAAAAAAAACAAGATAATTAATACTCAGAAATCTCTCCTAATATAAAGTAAAGTCATAAAAGGGTATATTTATTGCAATTCTATGAGGTTTAGGGTTTTCATTATCAACTGTCTCTATGGAATATATATCAGCATTATGTCCACTTTAATGTCATTATACCATCTTGAATTTTCTCTCCGTGTACCTCCAGTAATTGCACATAAAAATACTTTTACTTTCATCCCTTCACCCCGAAGGGTTGAGCAATCCAGACGGCGCTATGCCGCCCACTGGGACTGCGCCTGGCATCCGTCAAAATAATGCATAACCATTGCCCAATTCTGTCAGAGCCTGACAGCTATGACGCGCACTTGTTGCATGGTCTCGGAGATTGGGTCAATAACTCATTTGCAGACTGGTGAATTAATGCGAATTCAAGAGCTGGAACGGGCGCCATTAATTAGGGACATCAATTACAACTAGGAGTCGAGATTCAGGTCTAGGAATCGGGAAATAAGGAGCCTAGATAAGGCAGGCGCTAAATCAAATTAACTTTCCTACGCTTCGGTAAGCTGATATCCAGTCCGGCACCTGAGGCGCCCATCGGGAGTCGGTAGCTGGAGCTGTCCTTGTTATCTGCTGGCTTTATTGCGACATCGATGCTGTTTGCAATGGCGCAATCTCAACCGGCCCCCAGCATCCTGCGTCCTGCGACAAAGCTGATTGCAGGCTATAGTTGCCATGGACACGGCTCTCGCCCGTTGCACAAGCCAATCCGTAAACGTATGCGAGTGGGGTCATGTGCCAGGCGAACTCTATTGTTGCTAATTGCGTCGGAATGTTTTTCTGGTGAAGATAGAAAATGGCAAATTGTTGTCGCAAAATCCACACCAATTAAATCTCTGCTGCTGGCTGAATGAGTTTAAAACGGTTGCAATTTTCTAAGAAATTATTTCAGTTATTTTTATCCCAGGCAGGGTTACTTTTTGCAAGTAATTCGGGCTAATTATTTATTGATTTTATAATAAATCCCTCTGCTTGCTAACTGATTTAGCTTGTCAAAAATAGACCCCAAATTTAATTACAAATTGCAGTCCGCTGGGTTCCCCGGTTGGACCCTAGAACTCGAACTCGGTTTCGTTTTTAGATAATTGCCAGAAATCCCAAACTCATCATGCGTATGTGTGGGTGTGGCCCTTGTAATAAAATTGCGGCACATGTAGCAGTAAGGAAAAACAACGAAAAAAAACTCGACAAAAAACTCATGAAATCTGTTGCTTTTCCTACGTCAAACGCTATCGTCGAATACAAATCAAAATGTATCCCAAACAGAGCGTGTGTGCGGGCTACGGGAGGGCGGAACTGGGCACACAGGCACTTCAGCTTCAGCTCCCTTTCCCAATCGATATTGCGTATACGCCGCATGTTCGCCTTATCTGCAGCAGGACTCTCTGTGTGTGTTTAGATTTTATTGCCTTTGATGTTACGACCTTATCGGCAGTAAAACGTTAGATTCCGATTCAGTCAGCTATTGCCGTGCAAATCTAAACAAATCTCGAACTCAATCGCGATTCCTGTAATTGCTGGCCGACAATTTAAATAAGAGCCAGGGGAACCAGGCAAACCGTCAGAAGGATCGAGGTGGAGATGGAGATGGCGAAGGCAAAAGTCAATTTCTTGCCCAAGTAAATACATATGCTGCGTTGCGGCCCACGCCGGATTTGCGTCCGCCCACGCAGATGGCGGAGTTTGATATGAGCAGCTCTGCAATTTTATGCCCACTGGTTGCCCAGAATAATTTCCAAAGTTCCTGCTGCTTTTTCGTGCCTAATGCGAAGAGCGCGTTGTCTTTGGTGATTAAAAGTTTACCCGCCGACCAGACATGCACACACTCTGTGTGTGAATGGTTTCTGTGTGTAATAACTTTAAAAGCTAACAAACTCACCTGTCAGTAAGCAGTAAATTCCCTCCGCCTCCCCTCTGAGCCGCTTGTCGTCGGGCTGTGAGCCAAATCCTTGCATAAAGCGTTAAGTCAGGGCTCCTTTTGACGTGGCCAACGGCAACAGGCGTTAGGCTGCCGCCTTTATGCTTACCCCTGTTGCTTGCAAAGCGCTCTTAAGCCCTAAGAACAGCAGCAGCAACAATAGTGATTGCAAGAGCCACAGCACATTGTTAGGTGAGCATTTACGGGTACTCAAAGGAGGAAGATGTAACACCACACAAAAGATAATAGCTTGGACATTTTATGTGTTGATTTTGTAAGGCCTTTTAGCATGAAAATAGATCTAAGAAGAATTAATTAGGTAGAAAGAAACGTCTTTAATTAGTCTACTTTAATTTCAGGTAAATGCTTTTGCATCTTGTACTTTATTTTATTAGTAAATTTAATATTAAATTAAAGATCTTTATAAACATAATTCTTATATCCCAAGTAAACTCTCTTGATTAAGGTCAACTTTCCACTTATTTTTCTCGTGCATCTCATTGCTGATGCCATAAGACTACGTATTTGCTTCCTTGAAGCTTGTCCCACATCTGTCCGACTTCTCGGAAATGTCAGCACTCATCAGCTATTCATAGTTTCCTACTACTCGGCAATAGTGCTCTCATAAATTATGCAAGAGAGATGCGATCTTATTAGAATGCAAGCAAATATTCGTACTTGGCCTGCATTGCTGCCACTAAGGCGAGAATCGTTCTTGGCTCAAACCAAACCGTATTTGGCTGGGGGTTTTTCGGAAAAAGACAAATGTCGCAATGACTCTGCGGCCTGACATTGGCACATTCATCTCCGTTTGCTTATCGCTGGCTGGCTGTTTTCCTTTCATTTATTATGCCAAATGAAAAACGAGTTTACAAATTCGGTGGCCGCTCGCCCAGATGGTTGCAAATTAAAGACACGGACATTTGTAACCCAGGGCTAGCATATGTTGGCAAATACAAGACAAACAAAGGCGGCACACTGGGCAAACAGAGACGCAGCTGGAGTTCAAGATGGCAGGCCAGGACAGGCCATTCTCGGCCGGGCCTGGGAAAAGGTTCTCCGAAAACCGCAGACACACAAAGGACACTCTCTCAAAGCACACACACTCGCAGGTCACACAGGACACCACATACTGCACACTCGACACTCACACCCACACAATGCCTTATCACGTATACGCACTGTTGCGGCCCAAGTCTAGGCGCATTATTTATTTATTTTTAGCCTGCCTTGGCAAGCAGCTCGATGGTCCTTTGCCGGACAAAGGCTGCTCTTGCCAAGGACCCGATGACAGAAATTTCTCACAGATGGAAGTTTTACGACTATTAATGCAGCAATTGGCTCTGAATACTATAGTTTTGCCCATGCGGTTAGCCAACCGTTCTTAATCTACCCAAGCATTTAATGGTCAAACCTTTTTGAAACCCATATAAAGCTGAATTAAAAATATTCCCGCATCATGAACTACAGTGATTCAGAATAAACACGAATGATGTCTTTCCACAGCTATTTCACATTTACGATGCTATTTATGACGCACACTAAATGCGGTTTATGTTCATGGCTTTATACATAGTCCTGCAGCTTGCAACTGACTTGGTTGGCTAAAAATAAGTTGCACAGATAGTAGGAGATCAGGGAAAAAATATATTTTAATAGGTTAAGTTAATAATGCAACCAAAAATCACATTTCCCTCAAACCCATCACTTCATCCCTTCATATAATTTAAATCAGGGCTTTCATTGTCAGATTACTCTAAAATTTGAATTAAAAAGTTGACATTGGCTCAATAAAATTACCGAAAAGTTCACCCTCAGCAGCACATTCACCTTAAGCGAGGCAACTTTTCACTTTCCCCCATGTGAAAACGAGACGAGGACGGAAGCCCAACATCTGGCAAATATTTGACAACTTTTCGTTTGCATTTTGAGGATATCGTATTACGCAACTTGGCCATATCATTTGGCCCAATGTGTGTTGTCAACTATAAATTGTCAGACAAAGAGCGGGGCATGGATTTCATTAGGGCCTAATGCTAATTAGAAAGTTTTTGGGTCGCATACAGAAAAACTGTTGGTCATTTGTCATCCATCCTTCCAGTGGCAGGCTTTAACTAGTTCTACTTGACTCGTGTTCAACTTTTTCTAGGTGTTTTCGCCGGGATATTCAGTAGGTGGGAAACATGGGGAGGCACTAAAAATAGACAAGCTGTAAACAAGTTGGCTGGCTCAGCGTGGATCAGCTCCCATAATGGAACCAATGGACCGTGCTCCAGGTGTTTCTGTCGGACAGGTGTCGCGCAAAGCACACTCCCCACCTGGCAGCTGGATGTCCTTGGCTGGCTGGCTGCTGCTATACTGCTATACTGCCAGGCTGCCAGGCTGCCATTCTGCCACTGTGGCTAAACAATTTAATAAATCAACACTTGAGCCAAAGTTTTGTCAAATATTTTGGCCTCCACAAAGGAAAATACTTGGAGTGCCATAAAGAGTCCTAACGAGGAGCGACCGAGACCGAGACCGAGGCAAACACAAAGCCCAAACGTGCCGCTTGCTCTTTATAAATAATTAAAAAA